TATATTGAGAATGACAATTAATGTTAATAACAGAAACATTTAAAATTCGTTAATTTCATTTCAAGTTCAAATTATATTATGTACTTATAAAAGTTTACTAATATCTATGTATTGTAAAAATACATGTATTGTGATAGTTATTCTTGTCATCACATTATTTAATCAGTCTGATTGGTATGCCCCTTTGCTACAAATGATCTAAAAAGAATCATATATTGGTAAAACATGTAATTAATATTGCAGTAAAATTATAATTAAAACTTACTTAATTATTTCAGGTAATTTTTTATATCGACATATGTATTTATGTCCAAGACGAAGCGATGAATCTATTCGTGTAAACTGAATTTGATTGATATTGTTGCCATGATAACTTATACCTGCTTTATACAACTGAAAATGCAAATACATTGATCACTAGTAATTCGTCACGAAAGTTTAATGTAAAATATTTTTATACTTTTTCTCCCAAGGAAAATGGTACAACGTTGTCGTCTTCTGCGTGTAGTATCATAATTGCACATTGAACATTTTTTATATGTTTGTCTGATTCAAAACGCAGATTGTTGTGATAAAATGGTTCCACGATGACCCAATGAAACCATGGTAAATGTTTAAAGATCTTAAAAAGGGAAATATAATATATATATATACATATGTTTTAATATTATTATTATACAGAGTATCTTATTCAACTGAAGATTCTCTGTATACAGGGTGGTTTACCTAAAGGTAGACATCTAAAGATCTTTTATGTAGACCACCTTGTATAAACTCGTTTGTTACGATGTAATGTACCTGTGCTAATGGATGTGCACTTAATTCTTCTGCAATATTATTAAATGGTGATTCCAAGACCAAACCTGCTGGTTGAACATTTTCTTGTGCTAATAATTCTAACACATGGGTAGAAACACTGTAAAAAGTAAAACGATTTACAAAATTTATATATTCTTTCTTTTATAATATTTTTTAAAACATCTAAAATATTTACCCAGTGCCCAAAGAATGGGCCCATACAAATACAGAAGATGAACCATTTACTTTTTTTAACAACCACTCTAGTACAAATTTACTATCTGCTACTACACCTACTTCAGAAAGTTCAGCTGCCTCGCTATCTCCATACCCTAATTTTATGAAGAAACAATAAAATTATATCTACATGTTCAAATTACTGTTTACGATTTTAAAAAAGTATTCTAGTATATATTGGAAAAACCCTTTAATAATCACAGCATTTTACACTTACCTCTATAATCAAAACAAATTACATGATAATCTAATGATTGAAAGAGTTTATACAATTCTAAACGATGATTACTTGCTCTATTGCCACTATTACCATGCATATAAAGAAAAACAGGTTGTTTGGCATTATTCAATGCACTGTCATAATCTGCATCAGTTATAATAGTGGAATCATTTACTAATGATTGAGGTAGTATTTGCCTAGAAATATGTTTATTTATGTAGAATATATATAAAATTTAACTTATATATTTTTACTTACCAAACTCCTATCTTTACTTGCTGATCAGTATTCAAGTAAAAGTTTCTTGTACCTTTCATTCCAACTGATTCTGGATTGGTAAAGTCCACTGGCCATTGTACTAAAAATGAAAG